AATCATAAACAACCAAATAACATTTTACATCATATGTCATTGTATTATATAATATGTAGTGTATTTTATGATTTTGAATCAGCACTGCCTATTATTCATGAATTGTTATAATGTTAAGTTATAGATGGCAATTAAATATTTCAAAGAATTTAGATCATATATTCTTTAATTGTACTGTATTAGATGTTTGTGTATTTTCTACTCTTAAATCAGCACTTTTTATTCATCCTGAATTATGACAAATGTTAGGTCATAGACTGTATGCTCACTGATATTTTAAAATGTAAAAAATCAAAACTCACATTTTCAGTTTTAATTCTTCACAGACACACCTGATGGCATCCTCCCCTTGTTCTTTAATGATACCTAGGATTCTCTCCACAGCCATGAATGTTGAATTCCACCGGGGTTTAGTTGGGTTGAATGAGCTGAAGACCACATTAGTCTTCTAGAGCTTCTGCTGCAGTGTGCGAGCGTCCTGACTTATTCCAGAGACCTTGGCATTTGCCAAAGGCAGCGCGTGAAAGCCTCTTGTAGGTGTCATTGTTTTTTTCACCAAGGTCAACACCTGTAGTGGCAACTAAGTTAAGTAGGTGGCATGCACATCTCTGGTGTTTGGGAAGCTGGTACCCCAGGCCGTTGTCTTGCTCTAGGATGCTCAATGTGTCTTGAAACTCAACATTATCATCTGATTCCGAACCTTCTTGTTCTGTCTGACCTGCCGTCCTCATCCTCTAACTGGCTCTGCTCACCAAAAACAGAGAAGTCCTTTACATAATACGAGCCACTATCTGTGGTGGTTCTAACCAATTTTCCTCTTATTCTGTATTGGCTGTGGATATCATTCAGGACACCTGCAAGCACATCAAAGGTGTGTGATCCTTTTAACCTCTTGCATGCCAACACAACAGATATTCTCTCAAAATTATCCTTGTCAATCCAATGGCATTTGACACCTATGTAGCTTTTGTGGTGTGCAGACCAACAATCTGTGGTGGTAGCAACATGATTGATGTTACTAAGATGTGGTATCAACGTCATCAGAGTTTTATGTTGCAGTATTGCTAAGCGCTGTTGATTATACATTGCATGCTGAATGCTGGTATGATTTTTGAGCCTTTGAGTTTTATTTCATTTTCTATTTTCTGAATCTTTACTGTGTGTTTGTATTTCAGAAACCACACACAAACACCTAACAGATCCTTAAGTGCAGATAAATCAATCCAATCTGATTAAAGGAGTCTGCCTCTTCTTACTGCAAGCACCTGAACATCTCTAAAGTGTCCTGACCCAACACCCTGAAGTGATTGTTGCCACCTAAGTTCCATATACAGTCAGTCAATCATACACTAAACAACGATTCCTGAGGCCTTTAAAACTCCCAGCCTGGTTCATCACTTAAAACCCCAATCATGGGTAAGACTGCTGACCTGACTGCTGTCTAGAAGGCCACCATTGACACCCTCAAGCAAGAGGGTATGACAGAAAGATATTTCTGAACCAATAGGCTCAGAGTGCTGTATCAAGGCACCTCTGTGGGAAGGAAAAAGTGTGAAAGAAAACGCTGCACAGCGAGAAGAGGTGACCAGACTATGAGGAAGATTGTGAGAAGGGCCAATTCAGTCCTTGGGGGACCTGCGGAAGCAGTGGACTGAGTCTGGAGTAGAAACATCCAGAGACACCATGCAGAGGCGTGTGCAGGAAATGGGCTACAGGTGCCGCATTCCCCAGGTAAAGCCACTTTTGAACCAGAAACGGCAGCAGAGGCACCTGACCTGTGCTACAGAGAAGCAGCACTGGACTATTGCTCAGTTTTACATGTCACTTGGAAATCAAGGTGCCAGGGTCTGGAGGGAGACTGGGGAGAAGGAAATGCCAAAATGCCAGTCCAGTGTCATCTACCCACAGTCAGTAATGGTCTGGGGTGCCATGTCAGATGCTGGTGCTGGTCTAGTGTGTTTTATCAAGGGAAGGGCCAATGCAGCTAGCTATCAGGAGATTTTGGGGTACTTCATGCTTCCATCTGCTGAAAGGGTTTATGGAGGTGAAGATTTCATTTTTCAGCACGACCTGGCACCTGCTCACAGTGCCAAAACCACTGGTAAATGGTTTACTCACCATGGTATCACAGTGCTCAATTGGCCAACTCTCCTGACCTGAACCCCATAGAGAATCTGTGGGATATTGTGAAGAGAAAGTTGAGAGAAGCAAGACCCAACACTGTGGATGAGCTAAAGGCGGCTATCAAAGCATCCTGGGCCTCCATAACACCTCAGCAGTCCCACAGGCTGATGCCACGCCGCACTGAAGCAGTCATTTCTGCAAAAGGATTCCCGACCAAGCATTGAGTGCATTACTGTACATAATTATTTGAAGGTTGACTGTTTTTGATTAAGACACTTTTTTTTATTGGTCAGATGAAATATCCTAATATTGTGAGATAGGAATTTGGGGTTTTCATGAGCTGTATGCCAAAATTGTCCGTATTAAGAAAATACCGTAAAGACCTGAAATATTACAGTTAGTGTGCAATGAATCTAAACTATATGAAATGTTCAAGTTTTAGCAATACATTATGGAAAATAATAAACTTTATCACAATATGCTAATATTTTGAGAAGGACTTGTATATTTGTATAACTTCTCAGATAAATTAAACATAAATATGATTGACAGATAATTGCAATTTTTAAGAACATACAAAATTGGCATACTGCTGGTTTCATACATGTGAATCTGGCTTTAAATTGGTTGGTTAGGGAGTATTGGAGCGTGTCCTGAAACGTCATATCCAAAATGCTGAAAGGAAGAAGGATGTTTGGATGTGTGCAACCCAGAGAAGAAACAACCCACAGAGCTCTGACCATTCTCCGGGCAACTTGCTGACTTTTGGTTATAATTTTGGTTATAATCGTCTTTTATTCTAACCACGAAGCACGATCTGTATCTCATAAACTGTCTGATAACTTTCCCTCTCGTCAGTGGATCACCTTTTCAGTACAATATGTTCCAGGGAAACGCGTATTCTGCCCTCAAAACACGACAGAGAAACAAGTGAGTAGTTGCACGTATCTTTTTATTTTTCTTTATTTACATGAGCGTGAATAATGAAATGGAGAGGTGCATCTGTGAAGATACTGGTGTGCCAACATTGTGCAAAAGAATGTGAGCTGCGCTGTGGTTAGAGGCACGGAGAGCTTTGCGCAACTGGATTTTTTGCCATGTCCACCGGAGCAGCCAAACTGTGCACAACAAGTGATGTAAGTTCCCAGAAATCATGTTAAAAAATGAAGGAGTTAAATTTTTTTTCTTTTTGCTATTTAGTCAGATTGTTATCAGCTGAAACTGTAGGCAGTATATCTGTTTTATATCTATACTGACAAGATGTTTCCAGGCTTTCCCCAGGTCTTTTTGTTATTTTTTTATGTTGACTTTTCGGGTCTGTTTTAACATATTTTAAGCCTTGAGCCTGAAATTGACAAGTTTTTTTCTATTGGACCAGTCTTTGTTTAAACTGAATCTTTAAGCTTCTTGTTACCAGCAGCCTGAAACAAAGACATAATGTTGGAAACACCGACCATAATAGCATTTAACTCCTATCAAATGGCTGTTTGGCAGCACAGTAAAAACAAAAAGGGAGGGGAGTTTAAAACGTGTGCACGATTGGCTTACATGCATTTTGTTTTATTGTGTACTTCCTCAGAGAACCTCCCTTCCCCCGGGTTATGAATGCTTTAGCTCTTAGTTTTAAGGACTCTAATTCTCCTTCTCATGCACTCAATTTTGACAGAACCCTGCTAACAACATAATTATGTGATTTAGATTTCTTAAAGCAAAGATATCTTTAAACGTAAACTATGGGGCGTTATGTTTATGGTCTTTGCCATGCAGGAAGGTAAGCCTCTGCCTCAGTCTCTCATTATCTTTTTATCCACTAACATTTAGCGCCATCAACCAATCCCTTGGTCTCTGACCATCTTCCATGCCCTACTGAAGAAAAAAAATACTGACAGCATAATACTACCACCAACATGTTTTATAGTTGTATCATTTTTTTAATTAGATGACTTCTGAAGGCAGTTAGTTATTTTTGATTTTTGGGATTATCAGAGTAAAATGTATTTAATGTTGCGATCCTAAAATACATGATGATAAGAATGATAACAACTGATATGCTTTATATCAGGAAATGACAGAGGTACTTTACAGTAATTAGAGTGAATCTTCTAATTTCAATTTGTCTTTTAATCTGATTGTTTTTCGTTTTTGTGTAGATAGCAAACACATTTTAGACCCACATACAAATTGGCTACAAAATAATGACAGAACTGCAGTGGAGGTGCTGCCCAGGATATCAGGGTCACGACTGCATGGAGGTGAAAGACATTACACTTCTCCAAGTAGAGCGTTTGCCCCATGCCTCCACAAACTCTGGCTATTCAAATCCACAAGGTCAGTGGCTTAGGGCATCTAAAATATTTGAAATGCTTAAACACATTTAGATCAAAGGATTGTAATTGTTTCAATGTTTTGTAGCTCCCAATCAGAGGAC